ACAAACACACACACACACACATATATACCATTAACAAAGGCTGAAGTTCTATCTCCATCATGCTAGGCATTATTTGGAGTTTGATAAGACATACCTTGGCTTCTCACCATCATCTATATCATACATTCTAATCTAACACTCAACAGAAGTTTATAGGAAAACCTTATTTTCAAAACCTTAAGACAACATGCTATAATAAAATATATTTGCAAGAGTAAGATGCAATATTATATAACACTGAATTTACTTCAATGTACGTATCAGAAGTAACCATTCAAAAGGATTTCAGAATTACAGTTGCATAAGCTACGGACACTACTATGCATCATAAATATGGTAATCATAATGTAACTTTAACTTGATTTATAAGTAATGAACGTCTGCAGCTTGTCTGTGCAAGTCTTCCTCGACCCTCTCTACAATTTAAAATTCGGAAGGACTCCTTTGCAAATCTACAAAGAACATCGGCCATGAGACTCAGCAACGGAAAGAAAAATCAAGATCCCAAAGCCTGACATCTCAGAGATGCTCTTTCACAGCCGTTTTTAGGTCACTGCAATTGTGCACCATGCTTCCATTTAGAATAAATGGACGCAAGATTAACAAAGGCCTGTCGTAAAAAACGTAAGACTAAAGTGCGCCTTAAGCACGAGGTACGCGGGCGGGTGGGAAGGAAGTGATCCCGGATGAGAATCCCATAAGCAAGAGCGCAGAATGTTGGATCAGGAGAGACAGAAAACGCCAAATCACTTCGGCCGTTCAGGACGACTCCCTGCCATTACCCCACTTCGACGAGCCCCGGAAGACACCCCAAGTGTTGCCCCACGTCTGCAAGCACAACAGCACCCAATCGAAATACTAAAGCCTCAGCGGTTAGTCCTTTTTAAAAATTAAGTCCACGCCTCCAGCTCCTGCTTTGCCCGCGGCCTGGGCCTGCTCTTCCTCTGCTTATTGCTGACACGCAGGGGACGGGGGAGAGAACAGGTCTGCGGTCACTAGGATGATGCCTCATTGGGTTCAGAGGTGTTTGCACTTCAGCGGTAAAAATACGCGGGTTGCCAATCTCGGGGCTCGACCGATCGTTACTGCTCCGTCCCACCAGTATGAAAGACCCGAGCGGGGGCAGGCCCGCCGAGAAGTCAAAAGGCCGCTCTGGGAAACCCCGCGGCCTCTTTTCAAGCTTGTCAATCCGCCAGGGAGAGGGAGCCGCGAGGGGGAAAATGGAGGAGAGCAAAACGAGGCCACGCCTGAGCATTTCTCAGGAGTTACATAAAATATAAGCTCAGCATGGGACACACACACACAAACACAGAGGTTCCCCACCAGTTCTCTCCTACGCTACTATTTATCACCGAATTAAGAAAAAGCTGAAGGAGCGAGAGAGGGAAAAGGAGAGAACGAGAGAAAGATACGGACTTCAATGGTGCCCAACGGCTCCGCTCCCCTGTAGTCTCCTGGCTCCCGGCGCGCTCTGAAGCAGCAACGACATCTGAGGGGGCGGGGAAAGGGACGGAGGGAGGGGGCAGCGCAAGGCAGAGGCAGACCCGCCCGGCGCTGCCGCCGCCGCTGCC